TCTCTCTCTCTCTCTCTCTCTCTCTCTCTCTCTCTCTCCCTCCCTCTTCTATCACTCTTTTACCTTCTCGTACATCCACGGTCAAGGCCCCCGCCGCCGCTCGCCGGAAAAAAAATTCGGGCACCCTGGACAAATATAGCGGGTTTTATGGGAGAGCTCAGCGAGGCCCAAGGCTTGCTTCTGCCTTCCGCCACCTTATTAGTCTGCACTGTGATGAGCACGGTACCGTAGGACCCCTGGCTGTGCTGCCTCACAAAAAAAGTTACTTTATACTCATTTACAAGGAAAGTCCACTCCCTGTACCTTTAGGAAACCGGGTAACACTGCATGCATGCATGCATTCATGTGTACCGACTGTGATGACTGGGACCGCGATGCCATCGAACAACCAACTGCAGGCTGGACCGGGGGACGCGGGACGCGGGGACCGTTGGCCGCGTGCAGTGGATAATAGGATTATGAGATATGTTTTATTATGGGTGTAATAATTATGTAAGTGGTGAACTAAAACGCTTCTGCAGTTCAACGACAACTGCAGATAACAGTTCTGCACCTATTTAGGTTTGCGGAGCAGAGAATTAAGTTTGACAAAAGTTACTTTACACAGATTCATAGCGAAAAGACAATAAAGTCCATACGCACGCGCGTGCAGGCGGTACAGCAGTCTCGCTGTAGAAAAGTTGGCGGGGTGAATCAGTCACCTGGCATAATACTATATACTTGAATATACTTGTAGAGTTATACGCACTGGTATATGGTTTCTTGTTTCTTTTTTGCAGACGGTCTGATTGTACTGTGTGTGTATGCGTGTGTGGCGAGTGGGGCACGCCTTAGGACAGTAACTCTCCCATTTTCCTGAGAGGGTATTGTACTCCGCGCCACTCCGCGCGCGCAGATTCCCTTAAGGACAGACTGATGCACAACCGTTGTCGCGCGGTCGTGCGGGTCGCGTCGTCACGTCGGGGTGCTGTCCCGAGCCTAAAGCCTCTCCTCTCCCCCTCCCTTTCTTTACGGTCGTTAAAACCGCCACCGCCGCCCTCCGCCCCCTTCCCATAAAACACACCGCCCAGCGGAAGGGGAGTTTCACATTAAGGACTTAAGACTTCTTTTTTTTTTAATTTAGAAAAAAGAAGCATTTTGTGTCGATTTATTTGTACGTTTTGCTCTGAAGCGGCGCGTATGGACCGTGGTCGTGATCATGCCGGTCACTTGCGGGTGCGAGTGAGTTGGAGAGAGACAGACGACGCGAGTCATGGTGCGCTGCATCGTCACAAAGCCACGCGGGCTGAGGTCAGCCTTCTCTCACCGCACTTGCGGTAGTGGCGCGGGGCGTGGCGGGGCGTGGCAGGGCGTGGCGGGGCGTTCGCCTGCAGGGTGCTTGCCCCACCTCACCTCATGCTCTCCTCCTCCTCCTTCCTCCCCATGCCCGTTTTCCGCGAATACCACGACAACACAAGTACTTCAAACCTTTGAAGGGGACAGTAAATGCTCATGCCGCGCTCGTGTTTGCCGGGTACTGAAAGCAAAGGGAGGGGCGGGGTAGGAGAGGGGAGG